CTGTGCCCATCCTTCCCTTTGCCTTTGACAAAGAGGGACTTCCACAACAGCCCTATGACCTCAGTCCCCATTACTGCTGCTTCAAGCCCGAGGAGAACATCACCTTACTTACTGTTTTTCCCTTGTGGGAAAAATACAGTACTTGCATTCCCTTCAGTCCTTATACAACCCCAAATGGTCTCTATTATTTATGATAATCTACATCTTCTAAATGAGGATTCCTACATTTACACCTGGGGCCATTTGCATTTCTGGTGTAGCATTAGCGAAGGTAATGGTTCTGTTAGAGGTGATCTTGGCCATTAGGAATTAACTGGGTGTCCCGAGACTTAGGATCAGTGTGTTGCACAGTGAGTTAGAAATGGCCTTGTCCTATAATTTATTAAAGTCTTCCCCTAGCAAACCAGAACCCAAACTCCTCTGTGCCCTAACCACTCTTCCCAAAGATAACTGTTTTCTGAATAACCTTGTACTTATATTGGGGCATTGGGCTATGCAAAACAGCTTCGTGCCTCCTTGCAAAAGCTAGTTAACCAAACAGTGCAGGAATAGAAATGCAGGCAAATGAGTAAAAAAGAGCAATAGCATGATTGATAACCTAGATTAAATCAAGAGCAAAACTGTAATTGCCGGCGAGGTAAATATATTCATTCCCAATAAAACATGCATTTTTAACTGTGCTATTATTCAAGTTGCTGTTGAAGGCAAATAACATACCTTTCATGCAGTCAAAGGATACACACTTATATGCACTTAAATGAGTCTTGCTATAAGAAACAGAGCATAATTGCTGGTTCTGTCTTAAGTATTATTAGGTGATGTGACATTTCTTTGAGTTTTACTCTCATAGGTATAATTTCTCCCAGTGACTGTCCTCGGTACCTTCCAGACAGGCTGTTGCATGACAGAGCAATTCTGTTGTATTCTGAGTTTGGCTAAATCATGAGTGGCCAAAATCTTTTCCCCTACCCAGGAGAAAAATTAGTCTTGCAGCCTCTTTTATCAGTCTAAATTATATGCTGCTCTAAGGCATTTCCTTGTTTTGAAGACACTAAGGTTTTGCAGCTTTGGGCCTAAAGAAAGGGCAGGCTCCTTTTGCTCTCCTGGTAGCAGCTTCAAATCAGCCCAGCCTGCCATTTGTATGGGAATAAAACCTTGTACTGTATATTTATCATTGGAAGCCAAGCATCTGCTTCTTCCGTTGCTTCTGAGCCATGTTGGCGGAGGAGTAAGGTGTAATGTGTTCCTGGCTCCCCCAAGTCATGGGGTTGGGGGCTGGGTTGTTGGTGACTTGGGAGAAGAAGCTGGCAGCTGAAAGCCCTCCTTCCTCCCCCGTGATTTAAAGCATTGAAATCTACCTGTGCATGGAGAGCCAACACAAGGTCCACACACCTGCTAAGCCTTAAGGTTTAAGTGAGATTCAGTGGTGTATTGAGTTTGGTGCTGTCCTAACCCCCAGTGCTGTATTTCCTCCAGAGCGGTGTAGGTAGGCTAGGATGATCTAGCCCAGAAAAACCATGGCTGGTGCTTGCACCCATGCTGGCACTGCATGCAGAGTTTAATGCCGTGTAGTATTAATAGAAAATGGAGGTTAAGCGGTTCATGGGGCTACTGTCTACATCCCACCTGGAAACCTGCCTTTTCCTTTACATCCAGACACACACTGCGCTCAGCTCAGTATGTCTTGATTGTAAATTTGCAGGTCCCTTATGGAGGCAGGTGAGCAATGTGGGATATCATTGCCATGCTGGGGTGTGCAAATGGGTGGAGATATTTAGAACCACACGTGTTGCCTCTCCAGTCATTTCCCTCCATCAGTGTTGAAAATCAAGACTGGTATTGCTGTCGCTTTACACTGTAGGAGTGGGGAATAGCCAATCTGCAAGCCATTTTAAGCACTTCCTGCATTTGTGTTTTGTTTTACTCTTCCAAATGTTTAATAGGCACCTTCTAGGCTGGCTTCCTTTCCTGGCCAAATGAATATTTCTGATTTGTGGCACAACGGCTGATTCATGTTGTGATGTGGGTGTTGTGGGTTATGTCTGGCAACCCCAGGTGGTCGTAGGCAGTTGGCCTGTGCAACGGCTAGTTGAAAAATGATCTTGTTTGACATTAGAGGTGCAGGGAACAGGAAACATTGGGAGAAAGAACATATGGCACGTATCTGAATGGCTAGCACAGCCTCTTGGCTCTGGTATGGAACCAAGGCTGGCTATATTAACTCCTCCTGGTACAACAGGGCCTGCTAATTGCTTTTTTTTAATTGCAGCTTTAACTTTTGTAGGGTTTGACAGGTCTTAATTGTATTATTATGAGAAAAATAAGCAAAGGGGTAGATTCTGTCCTCTGATGCACCCATTCCCATTAGAAGAAGATAGAATGAAATGCAGTGAAAATATGGGCATTTTTTCACAGGTTTTTTCCCCTACTGTTTTTCGGTCGCAAAAAAAAAAAAAAACATGCAAATTTTGGAAGATTTCCATCTTCCATACCCATCAAATAGAAACCATGTGTACCCTCCCTGGACAGAATTTAGTGAAAAAAAAGAGAGTGTTGCTTCAAGCCCCTAAATCTTTCTCTACTATACACCATGCATCTCAGTGCTCTGCCTAGTGTTTAGGCATATGGGTAAATGGCAAATCACTTTGTCCAATCAGACGAAGTTTCTTTAATTATGATAACCTGCCTAAGAAGAGAACCACATTTTAGACTGATCTTACCTCTCATTTAGATATTTATACAATGCTCATGGCCATAGCAACTGAGTTCCTCCCAGATCTTATTGATTTCCTGCTTACAGTGCCCCTGGGTTATGAACATATTTCCTGCATGTTACAGCTGGAAAAGAGTCCCCAGATGTTAAGTAACTTGCTTGATGCCACACGGGAAGTGTCTGGCTGAACTGAGAAATGAAGGCATGTCTCCTGCCTTTAGTCCAGTTCACCAAGCCGCCTTTCTCCACACTCGCCTGCCCTGAGCTCTGCATGCCGAATCTCCATTGTGCACCTGTGTACGCAGAGCCTCGGGAGCGTGGAGCTCCCTAACAGATGTGTAAGAGCATGCTTCATTGCTGTGCTCTCCCCCGTCTGCGGTTTGCTCCCTTTGCACAGTGGTGCTTCACGGAGGCTCCTGTGCGGGGTCTTCTGTGCCAGAAGAAGCAGCAGTGAGGTCTGCCCCTTGAAGACCAGGCTAAGCTTGAGTAGCAGCAGCTCATTTGTATGAGCATCCAGATGTTTCTGTAGGTCTCCAGGTAAGGGAATCTAGTGTTCCCATTGAATATCAATGCATATTTTTGGTTTGAGAAGTCTATTGCAGAAGCAAAACTCTCATTTATTAGCAGAATGTACAAATTATGTTTCTGGGACATAGAGTGGGCCACATATAAAAGCGTCTTATCGTTCTGGAATTATTATGGTAGAGTGCGGATTGTCTTATTAAATACAGGGGACATCCCTAAAAATGGGAGTGTTATTTTTTTTATGTCTCCAGTGCACAAGCAAGGGAAAAATTGGATTCAAATGCTCTTCCTAGAACTAAGAGGGAATTACAGACATAAATGTATGCACTTTGCTTTTAAAGCTCTGTAGCCAGATAAGCATGTCTTGCTCTTTGTGTGTGAGTGTGTGTGCATCGGTGTTTGTGTGTGTTTGTGCAACCAGCATGGATGTAATAACAGTATGCATATTCTGGGGGGAAGATTTCTGAGGTGCCTTTATTTCCCTACCCTCGTCTATCTGCAGGCCTGCCAAACTTCAGAGAAAACTTTTTAATGGCAGCAGCCAGGGATCCTGTTGGGCATAACTGAGAGAGGCTTCTGACACACATACCCGTCTGACAAGTAAAATTGTATTAAATGTAGGAGGCCTTTGCTCATGCATTATGCTCAAAGTATTATTTGACTATAGAGGGCTTATTAATGTTATAAGATGTCTAGCGTTAGACCCTGGAAAACAAGAGAGCATTTTAGTTTTTTGAAATGTTTTTTCAAAGGGGGTCAAAAACCCTAACAAATTTCACAGATTCAGCACAGCTGGACTGTAGCCACCTCTGGGGTGATGGCAGGGGATGGTGGACACACAGCTTTCTACAAAACAGTGGACGGAGGGGAAATTCTGCTTAAGGACATGCTTTACCAATAATATATCCCTCTATAAATAGATCTCAGCATTTCACAGCTTATCTTTGTTGTATTTTAGTATGGGGGCATTGGCAATTGATATTTTTGTTTGTTTTTAATTGGAATCGGTTGATCTGAATGGCTTGGGGTTGAATGTGTGATCACTTTGGACCTTGGCAACAGAAAACCAGTGGTGGAATCAGACTGGGGAGGAATTTCTGCCGCCGGATTGATTATGCTCTGATCTGAATCTAATATTTCGTGATGTCATTTTAGTATCTCATGACGTCTTTGCCCTACCTGACTTGGCTACAGTCGTTGTTGTGCCTTCACCTCTCCAGCGGGAGCTGCCTATTTTCCCAAACTCTGCAGCACTCTCCCAGACGAGGTGTGGGCACAAGGCATCGCATCTTGTACTGTCTTTCCCTTATATTCAAGAGGGAAGGGTGGATGTGGTAAGGCCAAGTGCCTGTCCAATAATTGTTAGCCTTTTCCACTAATGTACAGAGACCATGACCATGAGAGAAGCAGGACTTCTCTGTTATTGCACAGTGAGTATGCATTTTAACTCAGGATCTTTTCATCAACTTATGGAGAGACCTCAACTGAAAAAAGAGATGTTGCCACAGGGTCATTGTTTTGCAACTCTAGCTGGTGCTATCACAGTTGGACAGGCCAAGAGTAGTGTGATTTAGGAATGCGCAGAGGTAGTGAAATCACTGAAGTTGCACATACAAGTCCTGGCTAGACTCTGGCCTGGGGTTTTTAACTTATCCATCTAGTACCTCCCTGTGTTTTGTTGGTCTACATGTGTTTGAACAAAAGTCTGTGAAGCCATGTTCAGTGCTGGATCATAACATTGACTTCTCTGTTGAATGCACAGGGCAAGAAGGGCGACATGGGGGTCTCAGGAGTTGATGGCCTGCCTGGACCTCAGGTAAGAAAAGTTTATTCATTCTTCCTTTGAATATAGAAGTGCAACAAGAACTAAAATGGCTAGTGGCAAAGGAGATGTCACTCTTTGAACATCAGCAATGTTGTAGGCCCTAAGTGGCCTCATTTTCACTGTATTTACACCACTTTGGTAGGGGTACAGCTTTACTAGTTTCTTTGAAGTTACTCTGATTTGCACCAAAGTGAGCAAAAGGAGGAATAGGCCCAATCCTATTTGTTTTAATTGCCCTCAGCAGCCTCTCTCAATGCACCTTTCCTGCACATGCAGGGTAATAGTCTTTGCACTTCCTGGCTGCTTTGTCTTTGAGACAGGCTGAAAGGATGTTGCAGCAGTTCATAATATTTAGGGCAGCGCCTACTAATTATCGATGGTGCAATTGGTAATTACAGATGCTGTAAGTGTAGCAGTTTCAGTGGAAAGTGTTGCCTAAACATTGAGGTGTTCTTCAAGAAGCCTGTAGCCTTCAGCTTAGATTTGGGTTTGGGCCTTTCGTGTACATGTTTCTCTGCAAAGAAGATGGGAAGGAGTTGACTAAATATCTTTGTAGACAGGCCAAATGCTCTCCAAAGTGGCCCAGTCTCATTCTGTTCCCCCTTAGTTCAGTCTTTCGGGGCAAATGGGTCAGACTGTGCCCTCATTTCCATCTGCTGCAATTCCACAGTGGTGCCTGAGGTCAGGGGTGGATCCAGGGGTTGCGGTGGGGCAGTTGTACCTCTTTTGATTCCTTCTTCACCCAAACTTTCTATTCAGGCAGAAGTGAGGGACTCCATTGAAATCCAGCCTCATTATAATCTGATTCCTTCAGGCAGGAATCTCCGTTCCACAGGCGTTAACGACCCTCTCTCCGTTTTCATGGTCTTGAGTGGTTTCACCAATCAAGCTAGCCTTGCTTTCTGTAATCCTGCTGTCTGTTAGCTTTCCCTGGTAATGCAGCTCTTATGCCACAGTCCTGAAGGCTGTTTTTAGCTTTAGCTAGAGCCATGAACTCATATGTGGAAATAACTTTCAGTAAAGCACCGAAGGCACTGCCAAGATGCCCAGGAAGGCTAGATTTTGTTTTATGAGTCTGAAAGAAATGTAGTTTCATAGTTTCTAGGGTCAGAAGGGACCTGAACAGATCATCAAGTCTGACCCCCCTGCCCTCGTCAGGAACGAGTGCTGGGATCATAATACCCCGTGTACATTCAATTCTAATGACTACAGGACTAATGAAATGTCTTTTGATTATTTTCGTCTAGTTTGTTGCGTTTCTATACATGACATAGCAAATTGATGCACCTTCCAGCAAAGTTATATTTGGCTTTGCTTCAATGTCACACCGAATAATATAGCCCAAGGCCCCTAGCATGTTAATAAAGTTTCTAGTTTCTTTTTAACTTGAGCAAAATGTGTTTTGTTATATGTGATGGTTGCCCACACTATCTGCACCCCCTTTTTTCAAAATCCTAGATCCACCCATGCCTAAGACTGTACACGCTGTACGTTCAGGCTGAATTTGGCCTGTTGTCTCTTGTTTGGAACAGCACATGAAGTGAAGTGGCTCTGACCTGTTTTTTCCTTTCATAAGCAATGTCAACTGCTCTAGGACGGTGGCTCATGACTATTTCCAATAAGGCAATTCTATTTAATGTTTGTATTAACTTGCCCAACATTACAAATTGTGAATATGGCCAAAAATTGTGCTGGACCTATTTGGGACTTCCTTCCAGCTGAAAATCCAGGGGTGAATATAATAACTTATTTGTTCCCTTTTTAATAATAAACCATTAGTGTGAAAGAAGGGATGTGCGTCATTCCAGCTTTACATTTCTGTGTGGGGTTTTAAAATCAACCTTTATATATTTTTATGATACCATTTCAATTATAATGCTAGAATTTGCTGATTTCACATATTAAGCAACTTTCTCCTCGGCTTCCATGAATCACAGCTTGCAAACTTTAGGTTAGGCAGAAATAGATATAAGCCCAGCACGAGCTGGGGATTTTTAAATTGTCTGTCCATTTGCTGTTCTTCTATGCTCTTTAACTTTACGAGGAGAGAAAACACGGGATTTTTTTCTGTTCTTGCAATGACACTCTGAGCTTGAGCTTAAGGCTGCAGGCTTCCAGGTTTGTGTTCCTAGGGGAAACTTGCATTCTGATTATAATGCGAATAACTTTCACCGTTTTTATTTTGTGTCAGATTTTCAAAGGACCTTTATTAATACTTCTATCTTATAGTCTCCTATGTAAGCCAGTACATTTATCCATACATACAATGAGTACTTAAGAGGGAAAGTGGATTTCTCAGGCAACGCCTTTAAGAACAGCCACCATTTTTGCCTCCTCTGTTTCTCTTTACTTCCTGTTTACTCCGTTGGACACGGTGTAGAGGACATGTGGGATAACTTCACCCAGGGGACACAATACCTGACTGGCAGTTGTCTTTCCTGCCTCTTTCTGTCCAGGTAGAAGGGAAAGACTAAGGGGGGTGACACCTGTGTCCTTGCTCTTCATTTCCCAGCTTGTATGAAGAGCTGGTCAAGAATTGGTTTGGAGACTTTTGAGACAATGTTGGACCCTTTTTTCCAGTGGAAATTTAATCATCAAATGTTGCTGGTTTCTGTACTCAGTCCTAATTGTGCATGGACTGCCTCTGTAAGAATATCTGCTGGTTCTGTCTCATATCCACAAAATTAGCATTTCTATTTCAGTAACCACTAGCATTGGTGAATGTGCCCCAGCCTCCCTGATAGTGGAAGAGTGAATGTGGATTGGATGAGGCATTTTTATCTTCTGCCTTACGCAGACTTTGTAGAGGCAGGAGTAAATATACCCGATTCCATAACTCACCAAAACTATTACCGTGATTGTAACACTGGAGAATCTCACTCAAGGATCAAAGCCTTGTGTTGAGAGCTATACAAACACAGGACCAGAAGATGGTCCCCATGACAAATAGCATATAATAGACACATAAGACAAGAGAAGACAGCAGATGGATAAAGACAGATGGGGGAATGCAAAGAAACAGTGAGGCCAACACTGGTCAGCATGGTAATTAGATCTCTCAGCATCCCTTCTAACAAGCTGTTGTCAAATATTTTGTAAGCATCACAGCTAAATAGCATTTTAAGGAGGAATTGAAGGATGATAAGGATAGGGCTTTGCAGATGTTTACAGGGAGCTCCTTCCAAACCTGAGGGGCAACCTGGAAGAAAGGATGAAGGTGGTTTTTTGAACAAGTAACAAATGGAAGATTGGGGCTGGCCTCAAAGGTCATTCAGCCTTTCCATTCTGAAGGAGACATCCAAGCTTCACTGTTACTACTGATTTCTGGAATACGAGTATGGTATGACCAGTGTGGAGTCATTCTAGAAGATCGGAGTTCTTCCAAGCTCATTACCTTTTTAAAAGATGCCATAAGTATGAGAAGTACTGTATAAGAAACCCAGTGAAAGCAGACTGTATCCCTTGGAACCTGCTGTATTTTCAAAGTCCTATTTATAATACAGGGTTGTAGAAATACAAGAAACAGAGATGGGCCTGAAGCAAAGAGGTGCTCTGGACCCAAACCATCTCAACAGTGCTTACCATTGGGAGGCAATGCTGAGTATCGTCTTTAACAAGAGCTGTACCTTGAAAAGGGGGAAGAAGAAGATGTCTTGGGTCTGAGACCTCACTCATACTGCTGGGGCACAAGGGCCATGATGAATATTTTGGTGTTTTTTTCTCTTGTTACATGGCATTAATAGAAACCATTAAAAGCAAAGAGGAGGGAGAGAGAGAGAGAGACCTCAAGATATCCCAGGTTATGACCTAAATATAAAATTAAATATAAACAGAAATATACAAAACTAAATCAAATATAAAGTTGAACAAATGTTGCATTGTGCTGAAGATAAGTCTCTGAGACAGGAGCAGCCAACCTATGGCATGTATGCCATAAGTAACATGGGCAGCTTTTGTGTGTGGTACGCAGCAAACGGGGGAGGAAACGGGGAGCGTGGGTTCACGTTAGGCCAGGGATAGGAAAGCAGATCAGGCAGGGAGCAAGGGGCGAAAAGCAGAGCAACAGATTAGGTAGGGAAGGGGCAGTGGAGTGGTACTTGGGGAAGGTGTGGGGCTAATTTGAGGCAGGCCTAAGAAAAAGTCCCTCCCCCACACTGCTCTATGAGAACTGGCATTGCCCAAAGCTGCCTTTATATCAAATTCTTATGGCTTCAGAGAGATTATCAATAATCTTTGTTCGGGAGTGGTATTTTCTAAAATAACATTAGTTCTTCATTTTAACACGCCACTGGGATTCATAAGTGGAGATCTGGTCCATTTAGGAATGATAAAACTAGCCCTTGAGATGGTTAAAAGTATGTTAGTCAGTTAGATAGGACACTTGGCCCTTTGTGTCCTGGCTTTTATTGTTGCAGACAAAAACCTTTCCTACATCCTCTTACTATTCAGTTTATAGGGCAGGATTGGAGGAGGAAAAGCACTTAAATGCTGTAATGGAGCCTTCATAAAAACAGCTTGCAAAAGTAGGTGTAAGGAACTAGTAGCGACAACTATTTAGAAGCCTGCTTATTATACATGGCATAATAGAAGGGCATTTTGTGATCTATTTCACAAAGGAACCGGGAATCGGTGCAGTGGAGTGAGGCATGTGGACCAGAGTGGGGATAGCAAAGGGGTCTTACCCCTTACAGAGGGGATGGGAAATGGAGTAGGAGAGAGAGAGGGAAAACACGGGTGAAAATAACCACAGATAGGATCGAGGAGGTTGTGTGAGTTTGAATGGCTCAAAAGAAAGGAGAAGACCAGCACAGACATTAGACATGAAAAAGACCCATTAGTGGGATCAGTGTTCATTTCATTATCATTGCATTGAGAATCAGGACATTCTTTATGTCTTAAAGGCCTTTCTTGCTATCTGAAAAAAAAACAAAAAAACACCTGTCTCTGTTACATGGCTTAAGAATGTATCTAAATATTTTTCATGTTAGCAG